CACATAGCAAGAGCTGAGGAGGGTTTTGGATGAATCCATACACCTCCAGGAATCTATTATTCAACTGTTTCCCCGGCTCCACTGTAGTGTCCTCAATTCTGAAGATGGTGGTATGGACAGGATAGCCTGAAATAACTAATAACCCACATTTATTGAGCTCTCACTATAATTCAATTTCTGCTTTATGTGTTCTCCATAATTAACTTAATCATTAAAAAGTTTGAGTTAGTGGTATTATCATTTCCTTTTTTATAGATGAGAATTGGCAGAGTACTCTCAGAGTGCTCTGTTTCTCTGTCTCTCTGATGAGTAAGAGCACAGGAGTTCTTCTGGTCCAGGAAGTCTTGTAAGAAGTGACATGTGTAATATCTCAGCACATGTGTGAGTTCTAGCAGACATTTTTGTTCAATGGTAGTGATGGAAGCCTCAGTTTCTGGATGTGTAGTGAGAAGATGGCTGATTGTCCATCATTCTGCGTAGAGCAAAGCCCTTTTGTTGATCTACAGAAAATAATTAAAATTGGTGATTAAGCTATTTAAATTTGAGTGAAGAGATTAATTTACTACCACAATATAATCTAAACTATCCTAACAAGTGAGCAAAATAAAAGACAGTGCTAGATCTTAGAGCTGGTAACTACCTTTCCTCTGTAATGCTGAGATGGGGACAGATGCAGCTCTTAGGAATCTGCTACCCAGCTAACAGCTCCAGGTCTACTGCAGTGATCGGAATCCTTAGCGGTTTTTTTCTCATGCTTGTAGTAAACAACTTTAATTTATCTTCAACTTTTTCTCACTGAGACTGTGGATGATTTAAAAACTATTTCAATTCAGGAATAGAGGTGGCTTCTATCAATCTTTTCAGGATTGAAATGTGATATATAACCTAATTATCATCCATATGATAGAATTTTCTTTATATCACAACTTGTTTATACTATCTTTGAAGTATGTAGCAGGAGCTGTGTATTGATCCTTATCTCATTCTTAAACTGAGAGACCTGGCCTGCATCATTTATAACTCTTGGGCAGCTAATGACTTTTACTATCTTTTTGCAGCTACACATGGCCATAGAAGGCAATGCTAGCTAATGACACAAAATGGAATTCTCCCAAGGGGAGAAAGAATATTTCCTTAACAAAACAAGTGTTCATTTTTTTTTTCTAACAAATATAGTCAGTTTCAACTAGTACTACCTGTTTGTCACTTCTGATGCTGGGACAAAGAAGCAGTGAATGGAACTACAGTAGTCATCTTGCAACCATGAGGAAAAAGTCAAGATTAAAAAAAGATAACGGCTAACACTGTTGGGCTTTTGAACCCCAGTACCACTTGTTTGGTGAACACTATTGTTTAAGTCACTCTAGACACTGTAAGTCAGGATTCTGTTACTAGCAGAGAAGCAGAATCCTAGTAATATAGAGCACTTTTAAATATTGTGTTGTAGCTATTCACACAGACTTGTACCTCTAGGAAAAAGGTTATTATAGGGGCATATGTAAAATACTACAGGAAAATAAAGAAAGAATGCTTTAAAAATTAGGGAACTCAAACAAGGATTTCTTTGGAAGTTACATTAAAGTTATGCTTGAATCATGAGTTCAATAGGTGAGGAAAGTTAGTAAGTATGAGATGGTTATTTAAAATCAGGACAAAAACATGTTAAAAAGGGTGAAGATTTGAAGAAGATAATGTACACTGGGGACCTTATGTAATTCAAGTGCAAGATGATGCAGGAGGCTGAAGGGCTACGTAGAAGCAAACTCTTGACTGGGTTTCCACTTACAAATGATGTAGTTTTGCTTTGTCCTCAGAGATACAGGGATTTTAAGGAACATGCTACATGATTAATTGATATGTAGAAAATCATCATGTGGCCTTCAGTATAAGGATGAACTGATGAAGAGTGATGTTGTGACAGGAACACCAAGTAAGGGAAATTGTCATAGTGAGAAACAAAATAATGAATATGAAGATTAAGATGGTATTAGCAGAAAATGGAGAAAGGACAGACTGAGGATTTTAAGAAGTTAGAGATGACAGAAATTGTTCTGGATTATTTGTTTAAGAAAATGCTCATCTGGATTGGATAAAAAATAAGGGAAAAAAGGGAAAAATAGGTGCTGAAGTGCAGACAACAAATAGCTGATGTATTTCATGTTTGTTCCTTTTCTGTTCAAGATTTATTGTCAGTTGTGGAATCTAGTAAATGGGTTCATGATCTATCTTCTCAAAAGACCTCTGTGGTCTTTAAGAGTCAGTTTGGATCCTCTGAAACAAGACATGAAGACAGGATTAGATGCTTCAGGGAAGCATGAGAGGAAGGAGGTGGGCTCAGGTGCAGACAGTTTTCCGACTGATGCAGGAATGGCCCCTGGGGAGGACAAGGAAAGAAAGAACCTGGGTAAGAAGAGTGGGGCACTACTGAGAATGTCTCAACCAAGTCAGTGAGGAATCGAGCAAACATAACCTTCTAGAAGTTCCACATCGGCTAGCAATGGCTAAACGTTAACACTTAATGGTAAGAAAAATAACTGTTTAATCTGTGGTTATTGATTATAGGGATTTTAATGTATATTTTCCCTTCTGTGTCTTAAGTTTTCTCTCTGAGATATTATAGACTTGAACCCAGATCTTGTACCCCTAACTTCCAAATACTTATAGTACAGGATTATAGAGAATAAATAAAAAACGTTTTTAAATTAAATTTTGTACTACTTTTATATGGCTATACCCTTTTATGACACTTAAAATACTAACAAATTGATTTGAAAATTTTGAAGAATGGCCCACAGAATAGTTTGATCCCTTTCCTACTGGGGTTAGGTTTTGTTATTTCCTTATTAATTTGAGTTCTATCTCTGCTTTTGTTTTGGTAATTCCTGGACACAGACTTAATAATTTGAGTTTCTACTTCCTGTGTCTTTCAATGCTCACTCTTAAATCTACTATGCTGTGAGGAAGCCCAGGTAATTCATGGAGAGACCCACATGAAGATCTGACACTACAAGGCCATAGTCCTGGCTGAGTTCTCAGGTAACAGCACAGAATTGCCATCCATTTGGGTAAGTCAATTTGAAAGTGAATCCTCCAGTCCCAGGTTTAAGCCTGACTTAAGCTGTCCCATTGACCTCTGAACAAATGGAGATCTGTGAACAAAATTCATTAGTGTTGCTGTTTTAAATAAATAGGTTTCAACTTTATCTATTCTAAGTAGATCTAGATAAATTTATCTTGCTTGGTTTATCTGATGAGGTCTTCTTTATTACATAATATAGAATACCTTGGTCTGGGAATAAGGAGTGTGTGTTATCTTTTTTTTAATTTATTAATTTCAAAATCAGAGATACAGGGATAGAAGGAGAGACAGAGAATTAGAGAGAGAGAGAGAGAGAGAGAGAGAGAGAATCTTCCATCAGCTAATTTACTCCCCAAATGGCCACAACACCTGGGGCTGGGCCAGGTAGAAGCCATGAACTTCATCCTGGTCTCCAATGTGGGTGGAGGGGCCCAAGTACCTGGGACATCCTCTGCTGCTTTCCCAGACACATTAGCAGAGAGCTGGGTCAGAAGTGGAGCAGTTGGGACTTGAACAGTGCCCATACGGGGTGTGGACCCTGCAGGCAGAGACTTAGCCTTCTACGCCACAGTTCCAGGACCCTGTGTCTTCTTTTACATTTTAGTGTAAAACAATGATCTCTTCCTCTGTGAAAAAAAACTCTCTTTATATAGATATTATGTCAACTATACAACATGGTTATCTTGTATTCTTGCAGTGCAGCTTAAGCTACAGAGAAAGGTCTTAGGCCTGTAGGGGCTGAAAGGGCTGCAATACAATGAAGTGGAATTATTTCTGTCAATGAGTGGTGACAATGGGAAAATGTCCTCTAAAGAAAAGACATCAGTTTTGGGGCAAGCGATAGTGACACCCCCTGTCAGGGTGCCTTTTTCTTGGGCCTTGATTTCAAAGTAGCAACATATGTTCAAAAGATTTAGTATGCTTAAATCCACACAGGTGACTTTCTAATTCTGCAACACGGCCTTATAGTGTAGTATGGATCTAGTACAAACAGGAGGAGGACCACTGGGTCTTAGGGCCTAGAACTGGACCACAGAGGTGATGGCAGCATCATTGGTGGGGAAAGGATGAGGTAGTGAGGGCCACCTACTACAGATCACCAGGATCGTTTAGGGTCCAGCAGGGCCCAGGGCCTGAATTTGAATTAGAGCAGGCGCAATGCCATGCCTAGCAGAGTGCCTGACACACAGTACCTTCTGGAAGGGGTACTAAGACAGTGCAAGTCAAATGCCAGGCTCCGGTTGCCAGGGAACCAAGGCTTCCTTTTGGGTTGCCATTCTGCTGTCCCTTGTTCTTACAGGTGTCTCCGTGCATTAGGCGACAGCTGAAGCCAAGGTTTTTAGCCTCACACAGACAGTCTTTCGGTGCACATTTATGAGCCTCAGCCTTGGCTTACTATGAATTTTACATTTCCTGCTGAACTTGAATCCCCTTCGGCAGCCTGGGTTTTCTTGGGCGCGAGGCACCGCCCAAGCTGAAGCAGGGACTCCCTCATCTTTCTGTCCCTGGCTCCGCCCAAAAGGGAGCCCACGGAGCCACGACAGCCTGGCGCTATAGCCGAGTAGGGGCGCCTCCTGCGCGAGTCCGGGTTGCACAAAGAGCTGCCGGCTGCGGACCTAGGACGGGGAGGAGGACGGGGACAGAGCAGTGGCCAGGAGCAGCTGGCCTGCTGGCCGGCCGAGCGACCCCGCCTGAGGCTCTAAGCAGCGGCCTGGCCGCCCACTCGGGAATCCCCAGTCTCTGGCGCGCCCCCTCCCCCGCCAGCAGCAGCGCGGCGGCCGGATCTTGAATCCCAACACAAAGGGAATCCTCGGCCGCAGGAAATGCATCACGAGAACGCGGGCGGGGGCGGGGAGAGGGGGATGCCTCGCCTTTCTCCCCGCCCCCGCCCTCCCGGAGCCCGGGCAGCTGTGACGAAAGCCGCAGGGTCCCTCCGTCTCCCCTGGAGCCGGGAGAATTCAAACCAGGAGCCCCCTGTCCCCCGTCCCCAATCTCCCCCACAGCCCAGGGGGCCGGGGGCTGCCCCCGCGCCTCGCGCCAGGGTCCCGGCCCCCGGGAGGCCAGCGGTCGGTGGCCGCAGCTCAGACACCTGTTCGCGCTCCCCTCCGTTCCTTCCGGGTACGCGGGCACCTGGGCTGACGTTGGCTTTCCTCCGCGTTCTCTCAACTTTCCTGCCGTATCTCCCGCCCTTCCGGGGGTCCTCTGAGAAATCCGGACCCGGGGTAGTGCCCTGCGCAGGGCTGCGCCACGGGACCTTGGCAAGACGTTGGTGGAGAGGGAGTCCCCGCGTGAGCCAGAGGGAGGAGGCCAGGGAGGGACCACTTTCGTTTTCTAAGACACCTGCAGTTCCAGGCGCGCGGCCAGGCTCGCTTCTTGGCGGGGCGAGCCTCGCGGCAGGACGCGGACAGAGTGGCCGAGGGGGTTCATGGTGAAGCTGTTTTTGTAAGGCAACCTCACTGTTTTTACTTACACCATGTATATTTTTTGAAATCAGTAAATCTACCAAACTTTTCTAGAAATGCTTTCTTCACGTCTCACAGGAGAGTGGGGAACCATCCATTGTCTGTTGAAAAAGCTTTGATTTTTTTTTTTTTTTTTCTAGTTTGGGATGACTTGGGGAAGCCAGTGGCCATTTGGAGTCGGCCACTGAGGCGCCTCGTTGGACAGGTTCCCGGGGCTTTAAGACCCTGGCGACTGGGGAGGGTCTGCTTCGCCTGCGGAGAACTCGCTAGGGCAGGTGCACTGAAAGGGGGCTGCCTCCCCCGGGACCCCTGGCGGCCTTGGCTCCCTTGGACAGCGCTGCGCAGGGCGGCTTCCCCCCTCCCAAGTTCCAGGCGGAGGCCAGCTACCTGCCCCGACCTGTCTCCTCCCTCTCCAACACCACACCCACGGGACTCCAGTCTCCCGGGGAGAGGGACGGAGCGGGAACAAAGGGGTCTTTGTTCCCTGCCTCCTAGGGGGTGGGAGTCGCGCTCGCTCGCGTTTCCCGGCGCCCCTTGGGGACCCAGAGGCTCCGCGCCGCCGAGCCTCGCCTGGCTCGAGGCGCTGTCCTCCACGACCCCAGAGCCTCAGGTCAGGGCGCGGTGCCCACGGCCACCGCGGGCGAGGGAGGGGACGAGGCAGCGCGTGGCGGCGCCTGGCGGGCACTGTCGCCAGCCGAGGGGCGGTGGGGGGTTCGGCAGCCGGCGGAGGTGGAGGGGGCGGGAGCCGGAGCTGGCTCTGGCGGAGCCCGGAGGTGCGGGGCGGGCTCGGAGCGCGCTCGCAGGGCTGCTCCCGCCACCGCGGCGGCTGCCACGCGCCCCTCTCCTTTCCCCTCTGCGCCCCGGTGTACCGCGCCGGGCCCCCTCCCCTGCCGTCCACACGTTCCTCTTCTCCCTCCTCGGCACTTTCCCTGCTTCCTTCTGGACAAACTTTGATGGGGAATTTCACACCACGCTGGAAAAATGCCGGTCATGAAAGGATTGCTGGCGCCCCAGAACACCTTCCTCGACACCATCGCCACCCGTTTTGACGGAACACGTAAGTCTCACACATGCACGAGGCGTGTTTTCTGAGGCTGCTGTCTCTCGTGTGCGTTACTTTGGCGCCAGCCGCGTGGATTTCCCTGCTGTTGCCGGGGTTTCTTAGGAGCGGAGAAAGCGTTTTCCTCCCATGACTGGGTTTCCTATGAACACTTTAGACCTATGTTCGTCGTGGGACCTGTGTTTTGGTTGGTCCTTAGGGAACTGTTTGCAGATTTATGAGTCAAAGTGGCGGTATTGGTGCACTTGCTCTTTCTAGAGTTTCGAAGCGCCCTCGATTATAGAGTTGGGAGCTTCGTTCTCCGAGGTTTTCTAAATAGGCACTATTACATGATTTCCTATCTAAGTTTAAGAGATGCAGACTAGAATCAGTCTGTCGAGCGCAAGCTTTCTGTAGAATTGTAAGTGCTGTACATCTGGCAGAATCTGGATAACTGTTTTTTTAGGTAGACTAGCATAACTCTTAATTATGAAATTAACCTAACCCTCAAAGACACATGATTCGGGAAGGAGGTACTGGGCATTATAAAGGCTGATCTGATCAAAAGAGAAAGTTTGGCATTTTATTTTTTTGAGGGTGAATATTGTTGGACATTTGATTCGTTTAAGCTACAGTTTGAAAAAAAAAAATGTTTTTTTGTACTGATGCTCGCAGACTGTTGGGCGTCTTGGGCAGGTCGGTCTCTTTCAGGACCACGGTCAGGTCCCCACTCCTCCCCAGACAGAAGCTTTGTGAGCCCGTGGGTCTTCTCAGGTCTAAGCCCTGTGAATAGTGTCTGTACAGCCAATGCCCTCAGTTGGTTCCACTGTGAGCAGCCACAATTTTCTCCTAGCTTATGCTGCGTCTCTGTGCTATCTTTCTTTTTTTTTCTTTTATGCAAGATTCATTTAAGCACATCTGTTCTAAAAGCATTCTCAGTGGTTCAAGTATCATTGTTTTTAGTGTGACACTGTTCCTGGGAGTAGATATGGGAGAACACGTCTGATTCCACGTCTGCTCCTATAGCCTACTACTTACTGTGGGTATTTATGCTTTGGGTGTAGTTGGGAAAGTTTGTATGAGAGACAAAGCACTTTAATTTTGTTCTATTTTTATTTTTCATATCAAGCCTCTTATGGTAGTTCCTCTTTTTTCTTTAGGTTTAGCTGTTTTTGCCCTATGATATTCTAAGTGTGTCAATATGAGTGAAGTGTAAGGCTATTAGATATCTAATATTAGATCTATTAGACAGAACATAAAGATAAAATATTGTAGGAAAAGTCCAAGTCCCTGCCTCTATGACCACCACCCAGAATCACTACAGTTGTCTTTAGTCTTGTGTGATTGTGGATACTCTATTGCCTGAACTGATCGGTTTCATCAGTTTGTTCTTGAAGTTGGACATTCAAAACCAGAGGCTCCAAACATTGATCCTGAATGCATCTATTGCAAATGAGGTAATTGGAAAATGGTAATTGCTTGTCTCATTGTCATTTAAAGTTGAATGGAGTGCAGTGTGTGCTGAAGTGTCCCAGTGAGAGCCCTGGGAATTACTGCAGATACATTTAGATGTCAGTTACTAATGAGAGAGGCTTTAGAAGATCAGTGTGTGGCCTCTGTCTCACACTATCCCATGATAAGCAGAAGGACATGCAGGGAGAGATGGAAGTATGTGTGAATAGCTACACAATCGTGTTAACAAAATAGAAGGTTAGATATTTTAAATCCTTATTGAGAATATAATCATCACATACTAACATTTAGAACAATAAAACATCTAAACCTCTGGTGGAGATAGACCATATTTCATCTGTGCTCCACAGGATCTGGGGGAGTCCTGGAGGGAACCAGCTAGTCTGAAATCTGACAATCAGTGAAGCAAATTTCAGAGTGATGAGTAACATAAATGTTGATTTAGGCAAGATTTTGTTTATAACAGCCATTGGATACCTGTCCTTCCAGGAAATCCCACCCAGTGAAGGGATTGTATTTGCATATTTTGTTTTTTAATTGCTTTTGAATTATAGAGTGATATGAGTAATCTGAATCTTAAAAGAAAATATTACACACAATTTATAGCCAAAATTTTCTGTCTGGAATCATGGATATACAAAATCCCTAGCTAAATATTCACTCTATCATTTTATGTCATCTTTTCTTTATATAATTTTATTCAGTGTAATTACTATTATTAAAACTCTTATGATCATCTTCTGTTCTATTGAATTTTTGTAGCTGTCATTTATTTTCTTCTGCAAGGTAAAACTATTTGCAAGTTTTAAATTCTCAAAATTGCCAGGCACCCAAATAAAAAATGACACTGGAAAGAGTATAGTCAACAAGTAACATGTTGGTATATATTATATTTTATGGTCATGATAGTTTCATATTTTATTTTGTGCAATTCTGATGAAAAAAGAAATATCACAAGCAATGCCCATGGCAAATTACCACTTTGTTTAAGTTAAATCAATGTACATTCTTTTATTAGCCTTAGTCATTTATTACATGGTGGGAAATAATAAAAGATCTTAAGACATCTTCTAAACATTCTTCCAAGAAAAATTATGACCATATAGAAGCCTTTAGCATAATCGCTTATGCTAAGCAGCATAAATGAAGTTAATAATATATTTTCTCACCTAGTGACACCTTATTATTATAAGATATTTTTTCCTTTAATACTTAAGAATATTATTAATATTATTGATCATTAATTGACACTGTTTTTCTGATATGCAATATAATTTGTAAACGTTATTGGAAGATAAAGTCTTTTTAGGTGAAAGATTTATACAATCTGAAGAAAAACCAGCATATGGAAAATAGAGTCTTTTAACACAACATCACCACTAAAATATATTTACTCTTGAAATATGTTCTTCTAGTTCAAGTTTCGTTGAAATGTTACAAGAGAAAAACTAAGAGTCTTTCAAATATGAGTCTATACACACATATGCAAATGTACCCCATTAAAGGGGAAAGAGTAACTACAATGAATTTCTTTGAGTCATTGCATGGTGCAGCCTTTCTCACCTGGAACTCTGAAGTACACACACACGCACACACACAGACACACAGACATTTATCACCATGTCCTGTATGGAGTTCACGCCTACAAAGACTGTGTGTGTGTATATATGCTTATCTGCATGTTTCTATATGTTTAATGCATTAGAAAAACCTTTTTTTAGTTTCTATGAACATTAACCTGGAGAAAGGGAAAGTATAATAAAAGGACAGGGAAGTGGGTATTTGAAAAAAAGAGTTTGCCAGTACAAACACTTATCACAGGATACCATTTGAGGACACATTTTTTGAAGATATAAAACTTTCAGAGGAAGGTGTCCATTTTCAAAGATAATGATGCATTAGCCTACATTTTACAGCTATATCAAAATTTTGCCAGAATATTTCTTCTTTTTTGGGTTACTAAGACACGATTTAAGGTTTAAACAAAGTTTGTAGCCCAGTGGTGTCTGTTGATGAGATATCAGTCAAAGTATTCAAAATAATGGTGGTTATAAAACTAACTAGTATTTGCATATGTTTTATGCACTCTTATGTTCTCTGTTCAAAGTGGTCCGAGGGAATTTGTTAGAACTGAAATGTTCCTTTACAGATGCAATTCTCAATGCTTTTTCTTTTCATCTTTATACTTTCATCAAGGCACATGGATTGCTGAATGTTAGGAACTGAAGGAGAAGAATAATGCACCCAATGATTGAGAGAGCAGGAATAATAGAATAGCACACTGGAGATCTTTCTAAGTCTTTGCTGAGTTGTAGTTTGGAGAATGTCATCAAAGGCATTTAGCCAATAAAAAATAATGACTTCTATTATGTATGGACCTGTAGAAAGCTATTGCATGAATACATTAAAGGAAATATGTAGCACTTCATAGCTATTTCCCAACAAATAAAGTTTTCAAAGACCTCTTTTGTTTTCTGTTCTTTGTATGCTCTTTTATTCCTTTTTTATATTTAGGAACTTAGTTTCTATATTAGCTTTCTATTTCTGTGTAATAAATGCCACAAACTGAGGTGCTCATTGTCTTACCTTTTCTGTAGCTTAGGCATCCAGGCATAGAATTAGCTGGGTTCTCTGCTCAGGGCCTCACAAAACTATATGTATGTAAAAAAATTGTCATCTGGAACTGTGCTCTCATCTAAGGCCTAAAGACTTCTTCCAGCTTCATGTAATTGTTGGCAGAGTGGTGGTTTTATGCTTGAGGTCCTTGTTTTCTTTCCAGTTATCAGTCATGGACTTTTCTCAGCCCCTAGAATCTGCTCTTAGTGCTTTGCTGTGTGGGCACTTCCATGGGCTTCAGTGGGCTCCCTCCCAACCGAACAGCTTACTTATTCTGGGCCAGTAAGAATATATGCCTCTTATCTATTTATTTATCTATTTGAGAGACAGACAGAGAGACAGAATAACATTCTCCCAAACATTGGTTTCCTCCTCAAATGCTCACAATGACCAGCTGCGCCAAGACCAGGAGCAGGTAACTCACTCTGGGTCTCCCATATGGATGGCAGGAACCCAGTTACTTAAGCCATGATCACTGTCTCCCATGGTCTAATGGAGCAGGAAGCGGGAGTCAAGAACTAGAGCAGGGTATCAAACAGGAAGCGGGAGTCAAGAACTAGAGCAGGGTATCAAATCCAGGCACTCCAATTTAGGCTGTACTGATTTTTTTTTTTTTTTAATTTGGAAGGCAAAAAGACAGAGAGAAAGGGAGAGGAATATAAAAAGAGAGAAAAAACACTCCTTTCACTGGATCACTCCCTAAATGCCTCCAATTTCCTAGACTGAGCCAGGCAGAAATCAGGAGGTAGGAACGCCATTGGGTCTCCCATGTGAGTAGCAGGAACCCAAGTACTTGGACCATTTTCTGCCTGAGGAAGCATAACTGGGGACCTAGATTGGAAGCAGAGGCAGACTTCAATCCCAGGGATATTGATATGGGATGCAGGCATCAAAAGTAGTGAATTAACCTGCTGCATCATTACGCACAC